GGGTCTAGGCCCGAAACGTCAGGTTTCCTGCTCCTCTGATGCTGCTTGGCCTGCTGTGTCCATCCAGCTCTACATCTTGTTATCTCAGATTCTCCAGCATCTGCAGTTCCTGCTATTTCTGACTAAACTTTGTCCTTTTTGTTTTGCCTCTTAGTCAGAGTCTGTGCCAGAGAATGTCTATGATTCACTTGATGTTGAGGCAGATATCCTACAACCCCAGCAAAGGAGCACCAGTGACCATGATGATGACCACAGTGAAGAGGCAAGTCCAGCATATTCAACCCAGGGATTAAAATCCTGTCTTGACATGTCAAAATAATAACTATTCAGGATGGCACTATTAAGGGTATAGTTTTACATTTAAATATAAGTACAATGAAGGATGAATGTCTGTAAAGAAGAGTAAGTTTATGATCCATAATGTTATAGACCCATATACAATACACTCCTGTTCAATCATGTGCAGTCCGGCTTTGCAGTTGTGAATTGTTCAAGAAAAATCAGACAGTTTAAAAATGATAACCTAACAGGTGGGGATACTGTCGTGTTTGGATGTCTTAGTACAACCTGGGAAAATGTGTATGCTGCAGTGTTTTAATAGTTTATTCCAGTGACTCTGAACAAGGCTATGTCTGTCTTCATCTCAGTGAAGGTTGAGTACGCTGTCTGAAAATTCTCCAAATGTGAAGCAGATATTAATCTGGTATTTACCAAAATAAAAAAAATTACTTGAGTCTTAGATTGTGGAGTCATCAGTTATTAAATTTTTAGCAAGTTCTCCAAACTGCATTGTTATCCCACTTGTGTTCACTTGCACCGTGATCACTTCCTTGTTGGACCTGGTAAGAGATGGATCTCTTTTGAATGTCCAGGTTTTCATTCCTCCCCCTCTGCCCCGAAGATACCTTCCCCATCGAACATGCGTTCCTTTCACATTTAGGATCCAAATGTGACTCAGTTACTAGCTGTTTTCACCAATTGAGAAGTAGCAAGTTGTGGTGTGAAGGAGGTCCTGGAATTTGAAACTTTGCAAAACGGAAAACTGAGTTTTTTGTAATGGCTGCAAGCAGTATTTCTTTTTCTTGTATTATTCCAGTTCAACTTTGGTGATGTTTTTGTGCACCAAGCCATCCACACAATTGAGTACTGTCTTGGCTGCATCTCTAACACTGCATCCTATCTCCGGCTATGGGCTCTAAGCTTGGCTCATGCAGGTAAGCAAATGGTTTGGCCCCACCTGAGGTGACAGAGTGGTGACACTGCAGGGTATGGATGAAACCCTGAGCTGCTGATGTGGAATGGAATCCTGTATGCAAAACTCACTTTGTTTCAGATGTCAGCCCAGAATTCTGTAAAATCAGAAACTGTCCTGCTTTTGTGCTTCATAAACTCTTCAGTGAAAATTATCTGCAGTTTATGGAGTCATCAGTTATTGAAATTTTAGCAAGTTCTCCAAACTGCATTGTTATTCCACTTGTGTTCACTTGAACCGTGATCACTTCGTTGTTGGACCTGGTGAGAGATGTATCTCTTTTGAATATCCAGGTTTTCATTCCTCCCCCTCTGCCTCGAAGATACCTTCCCCATCTAACATGAATTCCTTTCACACTTAGGATCCAAATGTGACTCAGTTACTAGCTGCATTTTAACTGTGATTTCCCAGTGAGGAGTGGGATAGAAGGCTGGAGAGAACAAAATCATAAAGTATGGGGGTGAAAAGTACTTTTATTTTTAAACTTTATGTTAATAATTGCAGATGGTTTATATTTATCATTCTAGATATTCACATTTTCTGTTTAATGAAAATATACTTCCATAATATCTGGAAAATATATTGTGACAAAGAAATTCAAAATTCAACTTCATTTTTTAAAATAATGCTCAATCTGTATTTAATTCTTCAGCTGCGTAGTAACAGTGGGAAATGAGGAGAGAGAACAGTACTTCCTTTAAAAACGGATTGCTGATCCCTTGACAATACTACGTCCTTAGCCCACAGGCAGAGCTAACATTTTTATTTGGCTGTGGACTGCTATAATGTGGATAACACTGGTATACTGGTGACCAAGGGTGAACTGTGTATCTGTGTTTGAACATTTAGAAACATGGACTTGGCAAAATAATAAAATGTTAGCCCCTAGAATCCTACAATCCTGTTTGGAAATTGCCAAATCTCTGTATTTTAATACAAACAAATCTCCATGCATGTCCCATTTATCTTTAGAGTTATCAGAAGTCCTCTGGACCATGGTGATGCGCATTGGCTTGAGTAGTGCTTCTTGGGCTGGCCTGATTGGTGTCTTCATCATATTTGCAATTTTTGCCATCTTAACAGTTGCTATTCTGTTGGTAATGGAAGGATTATCTGCTTTCCTACATGCTCTGCGTCTTCACTGGTAAGTCATTCAATGTATATTGGCTGCCCTGGGGTCTAAACCATAGAATAGTTCCTCTCTGTGCTGTGGCCATTCAGTCTGCCTTGCCAATGCTGACTGTCTGTGAGAACATCTCAGTCACACTCCTGCCACCTTCCCTGTAGCTCTGCAGTTTGTTACCCCTCTGAAGGCGCTCATCAAATTCCCTTTTGAAAGCTATGATTAAATCTGCCTCCATTACATTCCAGTTCCCAATCACTGTGTTTAAAACAAGCCTTCCGTCTGTGTCAGATTTTTAATGACCTTTAAGCCAGTGTCTTGTGATTCTTGCCCTTTCTCCAATGGGAACAGTTTTTTTTCCCCCCAGTTGACTGTCAATAATATTGAACAGCTCAATCAAATCTCCTTATGGTCTTTTCTTAGTTTCTCCAATATATCCATGCAGTCTCACATTGTTGGAAACACACCCATGAATCTTTTCTGCCTCCTCTGCAACACCTTCATATCAATGCTCACTACCCATGGGGTTGGTGGCATGGTGGCACAGTGGTTAGCACTGCTGCCTCACAGTGCCAGGGACTCAGGTTCGACTCCAGCCTCGGGTGACTGTCTACGTGGAGTTTGCACATTCTCCACATGTCTGCGTGGGTTTCCTTCAGGTGCTCCGGTTTCCTTGCACAGGAAAAAGATGTGCGGGTTAGGTGGATTGGCCGTGTTAAATTGCCCCATAGTGTTCAGGGATGTATAGGCTAGAAGGATAAGCCATGAGAAATACGGGAATAGGGTGGGTCTGGGTGAGATGCTCTTTGGAGGGTCGGTGTAGACTTGATGGGCCAAATGGCCTCTTTCTGCCTAAGTCCCAAAAGCATGCAGGAAAAAGCACACAGAAGATGGCCAATGAAGGAAAAGTCACCCTCTTGAATGGAATGGACACAAATAGTAAGAAGGTACATCCCCGAAAATCATCAGCCTATGACTGGGGTTTGATACTGATATGTTTGATTGTAACCTATCCAAACCCTGGAGAGATCTAGCCTATGATTGGAAGAGCTGCAAGGAGTGAGGAAAGTTGCTATTGGCTACGAAGGAGTTGCCCTGAGAGCTGAGATGCAGGGTCTGAGAGTTAGTGGGGTAGCCTGAGGTCTAGAACAAGAGGGATGGGTGAATGGTGTGAGGAGGGCCTACAGTTGCAGGAGGTGAGTGCTGAAAGTCACCATTGCTTGGGATGTGTAGGTTTTTGCTGAATCTAAGACTGCTGGGTATTGGTGTCAGCCAGGGGAGGGAGGAGGATGTAATTGCAGGAGGGAATTACAGGTTTCCTGGGTGGTGAAGGATGATGTTGCAAAGAAGGGTGAGGGGGCTAAAAGGAGGTTGCAAGCGGGTACAAGGAGCTGCAAAGGAGAGATCACAATTTTGATCTAACAAAGAAATACTCAGTTAACTGAGATCCAAGGAAACTTCATATTACTGAGGTAAAGAATTCCTTGGAAATGACTGTGGAACCTTTAGTTTAGGGCTGTGTAAGTTCATATTTACTATACCTGGAGTGAGGTGGGAAATGTAGTGGAATCTAATTTAGTGAATACCTGTCAATTGTTAAATTTAAATGAGCTTGACATCTTCGTACCAAAATGTATCAATTTAAGCAGTATTTAACACCGCACCTATTTCTTTTATTCTTTTCCTCCTAGGGTTGAGTTCCAGAACAAGTTCTATGGTGGAGCTGGCTACAAGTTTAATCCATTTTCATTCAAATCCATTCTGGATGGAAATCCAGATGAATAAAGCTGATTTCAACATTGTTTTCAACAACGAATGTTTCAACTACAGATTGCTTTTGAATGTCACTATCTTTCAATCACTGATCTCAATTAAAATGATACAATAGATTGATTTACAGGTAAAATTTAAGGTTTTGAATTTTACCTGTGCAAATTTTAGTATGTAACATTGAGCTGGAGTACTCCTAAGTGCTATCTAGCAAATCTGATAAGATTAAAATCAGTGGAGAAATGGCTGTTATGATCAAGAACTGACTGTTCTATCATGTTAAGCATATCTGTTAATATGCACACAATTTGAGATGAGGTTTTCAATGAAGATAAAAATTAACTTTAAATGATTTTGCATTTGCTTCAGGCTGGTAGTGAAATTTGGTGAATCACGTGCCATGTTTTGACCAGGAGTTACAAGACTGACAGTTTCTAGCATTGTTGACACCTTAGAAAAAGGAACTGGTAGAAGTGAGAACCGCTGTATTTAATGGGCAAGCTACTACACCTTAGCCTTCAAAATGTCATAAAATGATGCATTGTTTATCTATCACTTGTGAATATGATTGCTGTTTCATGAGAAATCTTAAGTAATGTTAAGAAATTTTACTTGTCAATGTCAGCCGAAGTCACGGTCAACATGATTTGTTAAAAACCCATTTTAGGGTCACAGTAAAGACCTCCTAGGAAATTAGCCCAAACAGGGCTCATGTTACAAAGTCACCATGTCGGCTCAATGTGTAAGTTTTCCTTTACTGCCTGCAGGCGTATGTAAATAAAAGTCTCTTCTGAGTAGTTGTTTGGAATTGCCTCAAAATAGAACAATGAAAAGAGGTGTTACAGAGATGTCTGTCATTGATTTGGTGTACATTCCAGTCATGTTTAAATCAACAGTTATCACCAGAATAACACCTTTTGTGATTAAAGCAATTTTGAATACAACAAATACTGACTGAGCTGTATCTTTGTAAACAAAAACAAGTGTTGATATTTATTTGGGATTGCCCTCTCCAGTGGAGAGAATAGGGTAAAAATCCATTGATCAAAGTACCTTAAAGATAACCTAACGTGCAGTCAAAAGAAATTCAGTGAACCCAGTTTGAAACAATTTCTCTCCATCTTCAATCCCACTCCTAGGTCTGATCAGAAGATGTGCCATTACATATATTACAATTTTGTCCATTTGGCCTAAATGTATTAAATCAACTTTTCCTTCTGATTCTCAGAATTAAACAATGTCCAGAATGAATGATTGAACTTTCCATCAGGTTTTCATCCCCACAACAGCAGTGCAAGAGCCTTAATGGAACTGAGATCCTCTGTCACTCACCACAGTGCACTATTCCTCCTCATTCTTCTTCACCATATCTGCTGCCTTTACGTGGTTGGCCCAATCATTCCCTACTGAGACTTGTTCTCCACTTATTCTCGGGGAGGTGATGGCCTAGTAGTATTATCACTGGACTGTTAATCCAGAGACCCAGATAATGTTCTGGGGACCCAGGTTCGAATTCCACCATGGCAGATGGTGGGATTTCAATTCAATAAATATCTGGAATTAAGAACCTAATGATGACCGTGAATCCATTGTCGATTTATTGGAAAAACCCATCTGGATCACTAATGTCCTTTAGGAAGGAAACTGCCCTCCTTACCTGGTCTGGCCTATATGTGAATCTAGATCCATAGCAATGTGGGTGACTTTTAACTGCCCTCCGGGCAATTGGGGATGGGCAATAAATGCTGCTTAGCCAGCGACGGCCTTGTCCCGTGAATGAATAAAGCGGGGAAAAAAAAATCCAGTCATGTGGAACTGACCTTGCCCAATTTCAGTTTTAACCTAATCAGTTGTAGCCGGGGAATTGCCCAACAGCACGCACTTTGTTGCCAACATGGACTTTCTAGAGTCATTTGAATCCTCTTATATTCCTGTATTTGAAATGCTGCTTCACCAGAATTATCTTGCCATTATCTCTCTGCCTGTATATTCTATGCCTGTTCATCTCCTTTCACTTCACCTGATGAAGGAGCAGTATGCCAAAAGCTTGTGATTTTAAATAAATCTGTTGGACTCTAACCTAGTGTTGTGCGACGTCTGACTTCCTTCACCAGGAAATAGGTGTTGTCTTCCACATGGATAAAGAGGGGACCCAGTTCTACTTCACCACCATTCCCTTGAGTTACTAACCTACCTGCCTGTGACTCTTTCATTGCCATTTTTAAACTTTGAAACATGTCAGCTGTAGCCTTTCCCCAACAAATTCCATTTCACCTCCATTTCTAGCTATTGTCTCAGCTGGAATCAGACTCTTGGAAGGAACCTTATTGAAGAATCCATATATTCAGTAATGCAAATTAGCTTGATAAATCACACTTGATCTCTGACACAATGGCAGTTTGTTTTGGGAAATGCCCAGAGCTCAATTCTGTCCTTATTAATAACATACCTAAATAGCAACAATCAATGTAGTGTGTTATGATTGCAGATTAAAATCTGGCTTGATGGAACATATTTTGCTTCTTTTCAATTTAACAAGATGGTTTTACTGTGAAATACACATGCATATTGCAGATTTGGTTTTAACAATAAAACATATGTTTGCTACACACAAATTAAGATGGAACAAACTGAACTACTGACATATAATGCAAGTTTAAATATTTGCAAATGCACTGCAAAATACAATCGCATTAATCCCAAATGCTCTATTTTACAGTGGTAAGAATTCCCTTCTTTACTGTACTGAGGATTTGCATTAGCTTTGGCTTAAAATTTCTGGTTTAGAGAGTATGATTACCTTTTCCTTGAGACCACATACAACTGATTGCAGACTTTGAGTTCAAATAACCACTTTGGGGTTCTAACCTCGTACTCCATGTCTGTAGCTTTTAAATAAGGTGCTTACACTACGGTAACCTTTTCATAATAGTTCTAAACCATTTCCCTTCTTTAGGGAAACTGTTTATAAGTCCCACTTCTGCAAAACTGCCAAACTGAAACTACGTGTTTTCTCCAAATCAAAAAAAATCCAGACACATTTATCCACACCTGATGTACAATTATTTACTCTATTCATTCTTAAAACTCATCCAAGGAAAACTAAACACCAAAGCTCTTCAGGGAGTCTCTCTCTAATATTGCTTTATAAAAGAATCCACCATGGCTACAAGTTAATCATTAAACCCTTCATAGACACAGATCGAATGCACATTCCACTAATTTACACCCTAAATTAAGTAATATTACAATGCATATGAATCTTATTCGTTGCATCACATGATTATAGAATCATACAACATAAGAGCATAGGAGAATTTCATTTCATCTTGTTGGCTCTATATTGGATCTGTTTATTTCATCCCTCTCCTGCTTTTGCCCCAAAGCTCTGTGTTTTTTCTCCTCAATTCTTTATTCAATTGACTTTTAAATTGTATTGTTGAATTTGCTTCAATCACCCTTTTGGTTGGTGCATTCAAGATCTTAATTGGTTTTGGTTATAAATCTCATGTTGGTTATGGATCTATTACATTGGCTCTTTTACGCTGTTGCCTAACTCACTCCACTGGAAAGGGTTTCCTTTTATTTAGGCTCAAAGCTAGTCAGAGTCATAATGCTTCCACCAAATCTTTTCTTGTCATTCTCTCTTAGGAGAGCAACCCCAGTGTGTCTTATCTCGCTGCATAACCGAAGTCCTACAGCCCTAGTGTCAATCTCATAAATTTCTTCTGCATAAGCCTCTCCTCTGTATTAACCCTTTCAGATCTTTTCACTCTGGTACATCTTTCCTCCCCAAGCGTTTTCTCACTATGTACACAAATGTATAATAATAGTTACATATGCCATTACCTTGTTATCGCACAAATCACTGATTCCAATTGTAAAGGGTTGGCAGAAATGTCCACTTTAGCCATTTCTTGGTTTGACTATTCTCTCAGAATCTTCAGGCTTGGAAGGAGCAGGACAAGTGGATAGGGCAGTTAATAAAGCATACAGTGTCCTCTGTTATATTAATAGGAATATAGAGTACAAGAGCAAGGAAGTGACATTAAACTTGTAAAAACATTTTAGACCTCAGCTGGACTACTGGGTACAGTTGTTGGTGCCCCATCATAGGTAAGCTGTGGATTCATTGGAGAGAGTGCAGCAGTGATGTACTTTGATGTGCAGTTACTGTTGTAATGGAGAAATAAAATATAGTAATGCAGTTTTTATGTCTCTGCTATCGTGTTTTGAAAGATCTGTGTAAATGATCCCTGGGTCTCTCTGTTCAAACTCCCATACCACCAACTAGCACTCCAAGGCATAGTCCGGATTGGTTGCAAGGTGTAACTGATTCTGCTTTGCTGCAAGTAACTTAAAATAATGTTGGTTTCGTGAAGATTTTTTAGAGAAGAAAGAGAAGCTGTGTGGTTTGGAGAGAGAATTCTACATAACAGGACTAAAATCATACGATATAGGAGCAGAATTAGACTATTTGACCCATCAAGTCTGCTCCACCATTCGATCATGGCTGATAAGCTTCTCAACCCCATTCTCCTGCCATGTCCCCCATAACCCTTGATCCTCTTACTTATCAAGATCCTTTTTCTCTGTGTCTCTTAAAAACACTCAATGGCTTGGCCTCCACGGCCTTTGCAGCAATGAGTTCCTCAGATTCACCACCCTCTGGCTGAAGTAATTCCTCTTCATCTCAGTTTTAAAAGGGTCGTCCCTTTACTCTGAGGCTGTGCCCTCAGGTTCCAGTCTTTCCTAATGGAAACACTTTCTCCGCATCCCCTCTATCTAGGCTACTCAGTATTCTGAAAGTTTCAATCAGAGCCCCCCTCATCCTTCTAAATGTCATAGAATACAGACCCAGAGTCCTTAATCACTCCTCATATGACAAGCTCTTCATTCCCAGGATCATTCCTGTATATTTTCTCTGGACTGTCTTTTTCTGCAGAACTGATGCCAATGTCCCACTGCAAGTTTCTCTGCAGCCCAGATGAGATAGCCTGAACTCGGGCACCAGACAGGCAATACAGCCTCTGGGACCCTTGATCCTGGCCGCAGAGAACAGTGTCTATTCCCCTACCGATTCTATCCCTGATTTCAACTTCATTTCTGTTTCCCTCCCTCTTGAATGGCTCACTGTACCATGGTGCTATGGTCAGTTTGCTCATCCTCTGTACAGCCCCCACTCTCACCCAAACAGGGAGAAAGAACTTCAAACCTGTTTGACAAGCTCAAGGGCTGATGCTCCTTCAGCACTACCTCCTGGATCCCTCTACCTGCCTTGTTTGTACTCACACCCTCCTGTCCCTGACCACTGACTGAATTTAAGGTAGTTAATCTAAGGGCTGTGACTGCCTCCTGAAACATAGTGTCCAGGTATACCTCCCCCTTCCCTGATGTGTCGCAGTGTTTGAAGCTCAGACTCCAGCCCATCAACTGAGTTGGAGTTCCTCAAGCAACCAACGCTTGCTACAGATGTGGTTACTATGATCCCCAATAGGATCCTTCAGTTCTCACATCATACATAGAACATAGAACATTACAGCGCAGTACAGGCCCTTCAGCCCTCGATGTTGTGCCGACCTGTGAAACCAATCTGAAGCCCATCTAACCTAAACTATTCCATTATCATCCATATGTTTATCCAATGACCATTTAAATGCCCTTAAAGTTGGCGAGTCTACTACTTTTGCAGGCAGGGCATTCCACGCCCTTACTACTTTCTGAGTAAAGAACCTACCTCTGACATCTGTCCTATATCTATCACCCCTCAATTTAAAGCTATGTCCCTTCGTGCTAGCCACCACCATCCAAGGAAAAAGGCTCCCACTGTCCACCCTATCTAGTCCTCTGAGCAAGAGACAGATTTTACACAGATGAAAGGATGGAAAAGAAAAAAATAGTGCATTACCTGGAGGAGTATTTAGTGTCATTGGGATGTTTATATTTAA